CCTGAAGACGACCTGCCGCCTACCGATGAGTACTTCACCTGCATCTGCAACTCCGCCGTTCGTCCTCCTCCCCCTGGCACGCAGTCTGATGCGGTCCAGTGTGACCATTGTTATGCTCGCTTCCACGGCGATTGCGCAAACAACGGTGGTTCCTGCCCCTTCTGTGATCATCATCATTGGAACGGTTCTCTTAACAAAGAACGCAGCTGGCATTTCTGCTACCTCCCCGCCATCCTACTTTCAGCACCCGAGATTTCGAAGAATTACTCCGAGGAGTGGAAGCAGCTGGAGTGTGTCGTCCATCGAATAGACCGTCTTTCTGCTGTTGTCGGGCAGTTCTTGGCTTTCACCTCCGTGCCAGAAAACCAGCGACCCGAATATCTTCAGCAGGTGCGCCATTATATGCGCAAACTGTACAAGATCCAGTTCGCCGTCGCCCCCACCCCAGACGTATCTTTTGGTCTGGATCTCGCTGGCCTGCATCGCATTCTTGCTCTCAAGAAAGGTCCGGTAAACGAGAGGCATGCTACGAGGATAGCGGCACGGCGCAAAGAGAAGGAGGCTCTGCAGGCGAAGAAGAAACGAAAGCTTCGTTTTACTTTCGGTCAGGACATCGATCCAGATTGGAAGGATGGTACGCGGTGCATCTGCCGAGGCCGCACGCCCTACCTGTTCAACTATCCACCCGTCACATGCGAAGTCTGCAATCATAAATACCACGCAGGGTGTGTATTCTTCCCGAACGAAAACAAGGACAAGGATGCAAAATTCTTGTGCCCTATCTGCATCACACGGAAGAACAACACATACCCTTATGCGGAGGTTCGCGTTCGGCCTCCTAGTCTGTCTTTCCCTCGTCCTATTCATGATCAGTGATTTAATTTTCTTCTCTTAGGCGATCTGAGGAAACCGAGCGACCAGTTTGTTGACGTAAAACAGATGATGGACAAGGGCACCAAGGAGCTCGTCTACAAGACCTTGGGCCCACCTTTCACCAAGACTCTCTTCATCGAAATCGTCAAGGTTTCAACCTCGGATAAAGAGAGTAATAGTAGCTCGTCTGGTGCTAACCAAACGCCCGAGCGGCCATCGCGTGCGATTTTCCGCCCCCAGCCTTACATTCATCCACACGCACGGAGAACATCTGTGGACGTGCAGATGACGCCTGTGCGGGAAACTGTCCGACGTGTCTCATCTTCGTCCTCGTCTGCTACTGCTCCGCCCCCTCCCCCGCCATGGTCCCGGTGGGGCGGTCCACTGGAGGGTTCTCGTCCAGCAGAGGGTTCGCGTCCACCAGAAGGTCCACGTCCATCAGAGGGGTCGCCGGTTAGCGGGAGCTCGAAAAAGCGCAAGCTGGAGGAGCTCCATGCGTTCCATGACCCTGTCCCGATCTACCCCAAGAGGCGTGCCCCGCAGGAGCCCACCTCCCCAGAGAGGAACGGGAACTACAACAACTTCACTCCGCCTCCTCCCGAACCCAAGCGCCAGAGTTCGTCGACGCAAGAGTCACCCCAGAGACTGTCCCCCTCTCTGGCCAAGATCGTCATCCCCGCTTCCCAGCACTCTTCCCGTGGGCATCCCTTTCAGAACCACGTTCTAATGGCGCCGCGGGGGCAGAACTGAGCTCATGCCCTCATCCGTTCTTCTAGGTTTATGCGTCGCTCTGTATTTATCCTTGTCGTACTATGTTTTCCGCGCGCCTGTCTCGAACGTTGTGTACACCAGAGTAGATTCCATTATGTTATTCGGAATAATAGTGTCTGAGCCGATCATCTATCGTCGTTTATGAACCATGAATTTATAAGTAGAGTAACCTCCGATGATAGCGAATGCTACAAGGCCACCAATGATGGAGAGAAACCACGCAAATCCCTGCAGAATTTGTGAACGAGGAAATCGACGGAGAAGGAAATGCGTACAGGGACGTTTTGCCCGGGTACATGCACGTTCATACCCCAAAGACCTGCGCCGAATCAGCTTTTGCGTCGAAGGAAAAACGAGCGCAAATGCTACTCACCAGTTACGAGATTCATGGGGATGAGGACCGTCCCGAGAGCGGTGAGCTTGGAGAGTACGTCGTTGATCTGGTTGTTCGCGTCCGTCATCTCGATCGAGATCTGCGCCAGATAGTTCGAGTGCGAGCGCGACAGGATCTTCTCGTAGTGGTTCAGATTCTGCGTCATCGTGATAAGATGATCCTGGGTGCCGCCGAATTAGAAATCAGCCATCGTATTCTTGGTGCAGTCTTACCTGGATATCCGACAGATACAGTCCCTGTAGCTGGCGTCAGACCGCATTCCGGATCTGAGTTAGGGCACTCACGATGTCTGACGTCGGCGCGACGCGCCAGTGCTCGTTGCAGCGCTTCGCGAGGCCCTTGACGACGTCCGCCTTGTTCCCCATGAGCCGCAGGAGCCCCATGACCTTCTTGCGGCAGGTCCCGATGCGCCGGAGCATGTCGCTCTGCTCCGCCTCCTTGAGGATGAGCACGAGCTCGTCGATGCTGTCGACCTCGTACTCGATCCCTTGGATCAGCGGCCCGAAAGCGTCAGTGATGTCGTCGATAAGCGCATACGAGATCCAGTCGGACGTGACGCTGATGTAGTCCTTGAGCTGCTTGATGCGCCGGCGGACGTTCTGCGGGTGGGGCGTCGGCCGGAAGTGGAATGAGAGCGTGCCCTCACGGAAAACGATGATGTACATATTGAGCGGCTCGAGGTGCGTCGGGCTGTACGGGTCTTGGTCGAACGACCGGAAACATACGAGATAGTAGTTGCGGAACAGCTCGATCTTCTCGCGCGTCTCCTCCATCTGGATATCCTCGGTCGTGAGCGGGTGGATGGAGAACACCTGCGGGGGGCGTCAAACAAAGCCGGAACAAGGACGGCAACGCGCTTGCCTTGCTCAGCATCTTCATCTCGTCGTCCGTAGGGCTCTGCACGTCCAGCCACCAGGTGCTCGACTCCGCGTCGCTGGCGCTGTGCCGTGGGTGCCCGCCGGGCTTGTAGTTGGAGTGTCGCGGCATCTTGTCGCCCACCACGGGCGAGGGCCCCGGGCGCGTTGGCGGTTCTCGCGACGCGCTCGGTGCCCGCGGCGGAGCCACACCCGTAAAAAGGTCCGTGAACGATTGACCCTCTCCAGGGAGTTCGCTCAGGCTGCGCGCGTGTATCGTGGCAGAAAACGCATTCGAGTAGAAAGAGAAGCGGTAGGGCCCGTCGTGTCCGGTGTGCAGGATACCCGGGATCCCGGTGGTTGTCTGAGCGGCATCGATAGTGAAAGAAGGCGGAGGATCGCCAGTGTTCCCCTCAAACAGCGCCATCTTGCCGCCGCCGCCCTTTCGGTGTCGTGGGCGGGGATTACTGTGGCTAAGCTTGCGGGGAGAGGAGCGGCGCTCGGGATCAGAGGGACCGTCTTCCGCAGTGTCTGGTGCGACGGTCCGTGCGCGCAGGGCGCTCAGCGAGAACCTGGGAGATGCTAGGTTGTGGAGAGTGCGTTCAGCCGTAGCAAACTCCTCCATTGGCGTAAAATCGAATTCGGAATGGGAAACATTAGGTTGGTAAGTGGGGAGTCCACCGAAGGTCGACGGGGGCGCAGCGTAGAGTTGCGACTCATGCACCAGCATCGTCGGGTCGTGTGCGGAGATATGGTTCATTTCCATGAAAGTCGGCGTTGGGGCCACGTTCTCTGGAAGTTCCTCCGTGTCTGGTTCTCCGCGTGCCAAGTCAATTTCATGCTGCTCCTGGGTCGAAAGTGCCGGGAAAACACTCTCCGATGGGTCGGGGACCAGTGATATAGTTTCTCTGCGGGCGCGGGAGAGCTGCATGGCCATGTCGACGTCCATCGTACGCTGGCGCTCTCGGAATTGAGGGTCGTTTGGGTCGAGTGAGCGAGCAAGGGTAGGCGAGTGCCGAGGCCGAGAGATGTCACTTTCGCTGCGGCTAAGGCTCTCTCTACGACGGACCGGAGAGCCGCCATGAATTGAGACCGGGGAGATGGATAGGACAGCATCTTCTTCTCTGGGGGGAGAGCTCATTTTGCGGTTGAAAGTCTGGAATTTGTTCTGTAAAAATGCAGCCAGTAAGCCGGGTGGCTGGAATGACAGGTGTCGAGAGAACCTCACGTTATGTTATGTTACTGGGTGACGTTGCAGATTGCCGTTAGTAGCCTACTAACAGTGAGGGTGGTAATCTTAATGCGCAGTGTAAACTTTGGGGTCAAGCAGCAGCAAGTGGCGGCGAGGGAGACCTCGCGTTCAAGGAAGAGTCGAAAAAGTTGATCCCATTCACAGAGCCCAAGGAACAGACAAAAGATGCCTGACCTAACCTAAACCGATTTTCTTGAAATTGAGTCAATTCGGGGCAATCAGAATCACAAGCCAAGAGACGAACGAGGCGGTTCAAAGGTTCTAAGGGAGAGACTGGAAGAGGGAATACAATTTGACTTGGGTATACCGGTTTGTAGGTCCACGTTTGCGAGCTGCTGGCTAGGCGGTGAATGTCAAGTTCGGGTTTGGAGTGATCGATCGGTGTAACCGACGCTTACCGGTTCATCGGTCCGGACATCCCAATTAATGACCTTCACCTTTTTCCCGGGTTCTGAGCACCGAAAGAAGGACGTTTACGGTGGGATTTCCCTGGTTAAACATAACGTTTGGGGCATTTTGGCCAGCTAATTTCAGTAAGGCCCCAAGGGTCGATTTACGGTCAAGTCGAATGAATTCAATTTTTTGCGTCCTTACAGTACTGAAGAGACAAACTGGTGGGGCCCAACCTCTTTTTGAGCTTCAGCTTCTGACCAATTTTTGACCTGACATGAATTTCTACCGACGTAAATCCGTCGGCATTTGGCGAAAAGTTTCACAAAAATAGGGGCGAATGCAAAATAATTAAATTATCGTTGAACCAGGCGCACTTTGCGTCTACCGTAGCAGGAAACAAGATGCTGATCGTTGCTGAGTTTCCATTCGAAAAATACACTCGAAAAAACGCATTGTAACATGAAACCCCCGGCGGGACTCGAACCCGCAACCTCCAGATCCAAATTAGACAAAGAACGTCATAGTAGAAGTCTGACGTCATAACCATTAGACAACGGGGGCATTGGGGAAGCGGTTCATCGGCCGGACCGCAATCTCGGGGAGGACGTCCATGATTCGCCTGTTCAGATTTTTGCATGCGACCGCTTCCTGAATCCTCTTGGCCTGCGTTCACATCCCCCGTACTCTGCCTCTTTTTTGTCTCCGTTTCTGCAGCATGCGAAGGATGGGCTAAATATTTCAATTGTCTTCGTAAGAAGGACATCCTTGTACTGCCAAAAGTTCAATAGTACGTGACCAACGCGAGCAGCTTTGCGAAATCCGGCGTTCCGAGACCAGTAACTGTGACACAAAATCAATACTGTTTCTCGCCAATCCTCAAGGTACTTGACTTACCGGCATCCCAACCCTTCGTCGCCTGTGCAAATTCACTGGTTGAACATTTCAAGTTTTTGAGTGAAAAAACTGGTGAAAAATGTTTTGAATTTTACAGAAGTTTTTCACTGAAAAAGTAGGTGAAAAACTTAAAACATTTTCAGCACTTTTTTGACTTGGAATCAAGGTGAAAAATGTGAAATAAAATTTGTGGTTTCTTTTGAAAGAATTTCACCAATAATATTTTGGATTTTACAGAAGTTTTTCACTGAAAAAGTAGGTGAAAAACTTAAAACATTTTCAGCGCTTTCTGACTTTGAGGTGAAGAATTTGAAATAAAATGAAAAAAGTTTCAAGTTTTTCACCTTTTTTTTCGGTGAAAAACTTCTGTAAAATCCAAAATATTATTGGTGAAATTCTTTCAAAAGAAACCACAAATTTTATTTTACATTTTTCACCTTGATTCCAAGTCAAAAAAGTGCTGAAAATGTTTTAAGTTTTTCACCTACTTTTTCAGCGAAAAACTTCTGTAAAATTCAAAACATTTTTCACCAGTTTTTTCACTCAAAAACTTGAAATGTTCAACCAGTGTAAACGCAGACGTGAGTCTTGATGATGAAAGCGAAAGTGAAAATGAAAAAGGGACCGACATTGAATCCTTCTGTACCACACCTGGGCGTCCAATCAGCTCCCTGATTTTTATTTGAGAGTTTGAACGTACCCAGGATTGTTCCCCACCGTGATATCGTTGAATCCGCTCACCGCCTTAGAATACAGCAGCGGGTTCAAGAACCCCAGCGGAGAGAGCCCGTTCCTGAACCGCCCGTTGTTGAGGAGCGCAACAAATCCTGTCATGAATCAGAATGGTTGGTGGGCATTTCGACAACTGGAGTCGGCGGACCTGCGAACGTAGACGAGGACGCGGAGGTGCCCCCAATGAGAAACGCCTTCCCGTCGATGAAAACCTTGAAGAAATCGGACTGCGTGGCGACGTCCGGGATGCCCTGCGATATATAAGTAAATTCCATGAGACACGCAGAGCCTCGGCACGCACCCTTCCGTTGGGGTTAAAAAGCCCCGCGTAGGTGCCTTGGGGGAGGCCCTTCAAGAACCCTTCGACGGCCGCATATTGGTAGCTTGGAGTGGAATATTTAGCGAGACATGGAAGAGAGCTTCGAAAACGACGACAACATACCTTGGTCGCGAGAAGTAATTACTGAAGCCTCCGCCCGAGAATGGGACTGCGACCTCCGGAATGAATACTGTGCCCCCGACGGCCGTGACACTGGGCGAAAATGAGAGGGGAAGGAAAGAAGTAACAATATTAACACGAACAAGGGGCAAGACGCGGGGAACCCTGTGCACAATCAGCACCAGCGCAATGAAAGTAACGAGTAAATGGGAGTATGTACCTGGGATGAATCGCGTCTGAAAAGTAGTATCAGTACGTGTTTCGGCTTGGAAAGAGCAAGTCATACGCTGTTAGTGCCATCGTTCGTTATGCATTCCTGGGTTGCTGGGTCTGGGTCGCCGTCCCCGACACCGCCGTCTGAATGTGGTGAGCGATGTATCCATGATCGCCAGATAAGAATGCATACCGCCGGAAGAGAACATCAACGAGACGCCCCTAGCACCCGCACCGTAATGATCATGTATAGCGTACGCATTATGCTGATTGAATAGAACAGTACCTAGTTGGGCAAAACCCTGACAAACCCGTTGCGCAAAGTTCAGCGGGACTGCGGTGGGATTTAGAGTGATCGACAAGACCGAGCGGCACAGCTACCTGTTTGCTCGTCGTCTCCTAGTATCCAATAGTCAGATAGTTAGATTCCATGAAACTTTACGCCACTTGCCGTAGCTGGTCGAAATCACAGACGGTGTGTTTTGCGACAGGACGAAGTCAAGCCACTGCCAAGAGTCAGACCTCAAGTCAAGATCCATGCAATTCAACCGCAGCAAGTGCACAGACCTCGGTGTACGGCTCATTCGTGTTGGTTGGGGTGCCGATGTCCGGGATGAACGGGGCGCTACCAGCGGTGGAATAAAAATGTGGATGCGGCGGGGAACGTCAGCCCAAAGGCGAACTGGGTATCCAGGTTGACCTCTACACCGGCGAGAGATCCGTTTTGTAGATTAAGTCCACCTGCGAATGTTTATGTAAAAGAAGGAAAAGGAAGGAAAAAGAGAACAGAAATAGGATACCATTGACGGAAATAAACCTGTAGGTAGAATGGACCGCAGCGGCGGCCGGTACCTGAGCACAAATATAAGTTGTATTTCTTCTTGAATGTTAAATGGGAGCCTGACCTGGTCTTCGTAAAATTGTTGTAAATCAGCTCGATTGGTGAATTGCTCCATATAGCCAGTGACCGCAATGGTATTGGGATTGAGAGCGGAAGGAGTGAAATCGACGGCATTGTAAAGTTGCTTCAAACAAGTAATCGTGATCGTGCTGTTGCAGCTGGGATCGACAGTAACTCCAGTGGCCAAAACAACGGGGGCAGCATTCTGGGACGCGTCCTCGGCAGGTGTTTTGCTGATTGAATGGATGGTCGACTTGAGCTTCCTGAACGTCCCGAAGATCGTCGTGGGTTGGATCAATTCCACATGGTCGAAAACCGTCTTCGGAAGACTGTAGCTGGTCGTGCGAACGAGATATTCACCACCAGTGTGCTTCCAAACGTGATATTTCTGTATGACAATGACATTGACAGAAGACACAATTATTCGGTGAGATTCCGATTTCGAACCGAGGGACGACTTGATGTATCAAGCATTTTCTCCGCCAGTAACACGGGAATTTTGATAGTGAGCCCGTCTCCCGCGGGCGACCGGCCGACGTCGCCTCCTCCGATTCCATGAGACGCGAGCCATTCGTTAACCGCGTCGATGCTCTCCGGGCGGGGAGCGACGAGCCCCTCAATTTGCTTGTTGGACAAATGTTGACCGTACCGCTCGTGAGACGGGTTGCTGATCTGGTACAAATGGTCCTCCATCGCTGCGAAATTCGATTGCGGGAGTGCAATACAAAGCTTGACGAGATGATCCAGCGGAGCGGGGCCGTGAAGCGTCCAGCCCCGCGGTGGGGCGACCAGCTGCTCCTTGACTTTGTGCTCGCAGTCCTGAGCGAAGGCCAAGACGACCAGAGGAAGAAGAGACAGCAGAGAGTTGGCCCACATATCTTGGAAGCATGGGCGCGAGGACTTGGAGTATCGTTTTCAACGATTCTCATGTCTCGCATTCTGGGGCCATGTAGTGAAAGCCTGTCAATTCTAGCAATCAGTGGCATCACACGAGCAGCCATGGTGCCAGTGGGGGAGAGAATCACTGAGATGAACCAGGCTAATCAAAGCCGGATATTATTATCTGTTCGGCACACGAAAGAACCACTGCGTTTCAGCCTAAAATTCCGGCCGCCGGCAAGCGGCCGAAACTTTGATTTCGGCCATTTTTCCGGCCATTTCAATTTTTTTCTTGAAAGTGGCCGGCAAGAGCTCTCGGCCGATTAAACGGCCACTTTGCCGGCCAGCCGTTTGTGATTTCCGACTTAGTCAAAATTAAACAACACCAATCGCTTAACCCGAAGACTTGGACGTCTTGTGAACGTCGGTGCGAATTTAAAGCTTCAGAGATATCGCGGTCTGCTCAGGGGTGTTTACATAAAGAAAAAAAGGGAGGCTTTGTGAGAAACATCCAGCTTCAAGTTGAGCCTGCTTATGCGTCTTGTGAACGTCGGTGCGAATTTAAAGCTTCAGAGATATCGCGGTCTGCTCAGGGGTGTTTACATAAAGAAAAAAAGGGAGGCTTTGTGAGAAACATCCAGCTTCAAGTTGAGCCTGCTTATGACATTCACTGCGTTCCCACCCCCCTGTAGACAGACCTTGGTCTACCTCTGTCTACCTCTGTCTACCCTCTGTCTACCCTCTGTCTACCTGGGTAGACATATGTCTAGCACGGCGAGTAGACACATGTTAGTGTACCTCCGTCTACCCTAGGTAGACAGCCTTTGGCTACCTCCATCTACCTCAGTCTCCCTGGGTACACTGACCCTGTCCACCCATGCCAGGCTAATTTGGGCTCACCTCGTTTACGGTTCACTGTGAGCTCCTCTTAAAGCGGATTTGTTAGCCAGACTATGTCTACCTTGGTCTACCTTGGTCTCAGGTCTGTGTACCCAATCTACAGGGTAGAGACACGTAAACTGGGTATGTCTACCAAGGGGATCAAACTTTGTGAACCGCGGAACATAGGCCGGACTTTTTCACTGTAAGACTGGCACCGGGTTTATTTCCCTTGGTTGCCGGAGGAACTTCCCCATTCACCCGTTTGGCGGGTCAGAACCAGGTGAAATCCAAACGGGTTTTTTTACACCGCGAAAACGGGTGAATGTGTATCACCCATCAAACATGACTCTTTTACCCGTTCTATAATGATCTGTTGGTATAACCTGTTTACCAAGATAATTTCACCCGGCAAAATTTCCTGACCGGGTGAAAACGTAAGCGGGTGACAATGATCTGGTCGCCGAGCTGAAATCACCCAGTCTATGTAAAACTATTGATATCTACACAATGGTTTTGTCTGCTTCATCATCTGTGTCCGACTCAGTTTCTTCCAGATCCTGCTGGCCTCTCACAATCGTCTCAACTCCATTGAGTGCTCTGCGCACAGCCTGAAGACTGCCT